TTATATGAAGTTATTATTATAATTAGAGACCATTACACATTTCTTGAACCACTTGCTTAGTTTTCTTCCTTTTTTTTTTTTTTTTTTTTTTTTTTTTTTTTTTTTGGTACTGGGGATGGAACTCAAGACCTTGCACTTGCAAGGCACGCAGCAGTGGAACCACTAAGCCAAATCCCTAGTCCCCTTCTATTTCTTTTTGATATATTAGATTTTCTAGAAACTCTCAGGCTACTGAACTGGTCCCTTTTACTCAAATTTCTTTGTGACCGTAGAACCAACCAAGACTTTGTCTCTGTAGCTGCTAGATAAGTAGGCCATTTCATCTCTACCCTAAGGCTTTTGTGAGTAGAAGCCAGACTAATGTAAGTTTTGTCTTCCAAATATTGCAGCACTGGGTTACTGTGTAAATTCTTACCTTGTTGATGCGTCATTCAGGACACATCATTCTGATTTCCTAAGACTGAAGAAACTTGAGAACACTTTTGAGCAATTCATTTAATCTCGGTGGCTTTTATAATATCTGGGATGACCAGGAGATGTTACATAAAATTGTTTTCGAACATTTTTTCAGTCATGAGCGTTGAATGGAATAGAAGTGTTATCCCAGGATATCTTGATTCCCCCAAACAGTTCCATCTTATTTTTTCATTACACAGTAACATTTGAAAGGAATTGAATCCTGAGGTGTAAATAAATACATTAATAATTTTTCCAGTATTAATATTAATGGTAGTTATAAGAATTGTTTTTTGATACCTGAGCCTTGTGTCTATTTTTAGTTCTTAAGGGTTTTTTTGTTGTTGTTGTTTGGTTGGTTGGATTTTCTTTACTGGAGATTAAAACTCAGGACCTTGCACTTGTGGGGCAGGTGGCAGAATTCTTGAGTTTCTAAGAAATCATTTTTCAGTACATTTTAAGAATGTACTGGAAGAATTTAGACTTTCTTTTTTGATAAGAATAGAAATGATAATTTTGTATTATAAAACAGCTACCCTCAGATTATCAATGTCTGAATCTACTTCTATCTTGCCAAGATTACTATAAACATGCTCTTAAGATTTTTTAGCCTTATTTTTTAAATTTCCCAGTATTGGAGGGCATTTCTTATTTGTATTCAGCTCTTTCCTAGTTCTTATGTATTTCAATGTGGGTGCAAGTTAATCGCCCTTAAATTTTTTATTTAAGATACAGGTAAGAGTAATTACTTTTACAAATAGAAATAACTTCTGAATTTTGGTTTAGGAACATGAATTATCTATTGAAAGAAATATATAAATGATTCTTTAAAAATTTTTTACTGTGGTTGACGCAACATCTGTGTCACAAAAATGAAATACTTCTGAATAAAAGCTTTAGGGTCTACATACAGAAATTGTTACTTGTAGTGTATGGGTTTTGTGACATCTGTTTTATCTCTTTGTAGTGGCCTTTGCTGCCTCTGGATTGTAAACTGTGTTGTGGAAAAATTACTTGCGAATAAATGAGGTGTTACTGTGTAGTATGTACAATAGTGAACTTGGTGTTTGGAACTACGTTTCACAGAGTGGAGGAGGAGCTGGGGGAGTGGCTCTTGTGGAATACCTTACTTACTGCCCATAAGACCCTAAGATGTTTTGTATTTCCTCAGAATGTCTTTTAACAGTACTTTAGCATTCAGAGAATTTTTTGCCTTTTAGATTGAGTGTCTCATTTTAAGAAGAGAAACTGAGAGTCATGGAAGTTGTTTAGACAGTAGTTAGTGGCAAGTAGGGACGAATTTTCAATTTTTTTTTTTTTTTAACTGGGGATCAAACTCAGGACCTTGCGCTTGTGAGGCGGGCAGCAGAGCCACTGAGCTAAATCCCCGGCTCTCTTAACTTTCAATTCTATACCATTTCCACTCTGCTACATTCATTGTACTAATACTTGTAATTGAGTGTCAAGTGTTGGGGCATGAGCATCAACATCAAAAAACTTGCTCCCAAAAACAAAAAACAACATCAAAAAAAACAAGCTGGGCATGGTGGCGCACACCTGTAATTCCAGCACTTGGGAGGCTGAGGCAGGAGGATCACTGTGAGTTCGAGACCAGCCTGGGCTACATAGTGAGTTCCAGTTCAGACTCAACTACGTGAGACCCTGTCTCAAAAAAACAAAAAACAACAAAAAACTTGCTCCCTCGTCTCCACAGTTGAGAAGGAAAGACAAACTGTAAATCAGTATAAAATTAGGGCTGTATGATAACTGAGCAAGGAGAGGCATGCAGTACAAGGGAGCATCTGGCTGGAATGCTGCCCCAGATACCCACATGGTTTACTTCCTCATTTCCTAGGGCTCTACTCAGATGGCACCTCATCAGATGCTTCTCCATTCTACTCTGTCTAGGCTTGCATTTTCATCCTTACTTGGCCTGGTTTTGGTTTTTTGTTTTTCTCACTGGACGTTTATTTGCTTACCTTTTTAAAAATTTATTTTGTGCTCCCACAGAATGTAAGCTCCATGAAAACACTGTTCTGTCTTCATTAGCAAGAATAAGTGTGACATTTAGGTATCTGTTCAGTTGATGAATAAATTGCTTATGTAGGGAGAATTTATGTAGTCGAGAGGTTTGAAAAAGTTCACTGAGAAAGAGATGATTGTACTGAGGTGTCCAGGCAAAGTTGGAGGCAGATGGGAGTAGTGGGGCAAGAATGCGAGCTCCGTGAGCATCAAGGGGCTGTGAGTGGTTGCTTCTGTGTCCACAGCACCGGTTACATCTTTGATTTCAAAAATTCTGTACTAAATGAGAAGAAACTGAGGAAGGGACAACATGTGCAGAGGCTGTGTGGGTAAGAGAGCATTCTGATTCCCAGGAAACAGAAGCACACAGCAGGGCAAAGTGGCCGCCTGATGTGGCCTGCAGAAGGGGAAGCAGGCAGGGTTGGGTCCTGAGGACCTATTTTGAACTAGAGAACAAATGGTGAGCTCGGTATTTTCCTCACACTTTATGCTGCATTTCCTTGTAACTTGAAGAGTTTCGTTTTCTTTAAAATGAAATGTTTTCTTTTCTTTTTCCACTATCTGAAAATATAATAAATAACACTAAGGAATAAATAAACAAGATCAGGGTTGACATGACCTATGTCAGTGATCCAAATGAAAACCAAATCTGCCAAGCTGCCATGTCTGTGGGTGTCCTTGGTTTTCACCATTTTAGTTCTGAAATGTGTATCAGTAGCATTTGGCAGTGTTTAACCCCTTTTCTTTTAATGTTTGCATGTATATATTAGCTTTTGTCTTAATAATTTTTAGATCTTTTACACCTTTTGAATTTTAACTTTTGCTTAAGGTTTATAGCATTTAAGGCTGTCTCATTTAAAAAGGAAAAAGATGTTAGCTTTATTTAAATTGATAATTTCTTCACTTAAGTCTAGGTCACTGATGAATTATCCCTATTCAAGAAAGGTGATTCTACTTATTGGCATACTACTTGAAAACACATTGCTGTGTGTAGCTCTAGAATCTATTTCACCTGTAGAATGCATCTATCTTATAATAATGCAGTAAAATAATGATACCACTAAAGGGTTATACCTGTCCCTTATCCTACAGATTAGGGAGTTAGGGGAGGAACCCCAGCTATAGTTTTGCAAACTATTTAAAGATTTATAACAGAATCACTTGAGTAAAATCATTAACCGCAGACACCTTTGAACTTTTTCCCATCAGCTTTGGGTTTTCTGCTTGTTTTGAGATGGGAGTCTTGCCATGTTGTCTTGTGGCTGGACTTGAACTCCTGGGCTCCAGAGATCCTCCTGCTTCAGCCTTCCTGGGAATACAGGCGTACAACAGTAGTGCATGTGGCTTACATTGAGTGGGTATCTTCAAGAAGCAGCAGCTGATTGAAATGTTTTTCAGTAGGATGAGGCTTCTGTAGTCCAATAAACTTGAGAGTGTAGATTTTCTCTGCAAACTGCTTTTCAAAACTAGTAGAGTGAACCAGGGGTGCAGCTCAGTGGCACTGTGCCTGCCTGGTAATTGCAAGGTCCTGAGTTTGATCCCCAGTATAAAAAAAAAAAAAACTAATGGAGTGAATAATAGCACTAATGCCTGGAAGGCATTGATCCTGTGGACTGTAATACTCAGTACACAGGGAATAATAGGAGAATGAGGAGTGTGCTAATGATAGGTCAAAGCTCTGAAAATTAATAGGAATTGAATGTCCCTTATTAGAAATGCTTGCAATCAAAAATATTTTAGGGCCCGGAATTTAGCTCACTGGTTCTGCTGCCTGCCTCACAAGTGCAAGGTCCTGAGTTCAATCTTTTTTTTTAAACTTTGCTGTATTTGCATACACATAATGGGATGTGTTGGGGTTGGGACCCAAGTCTAAATGCAAAGTTCATTTATACTTCATATGTGTATGGCCTCAAGGTAATTTTGTACAAAATCTGTAATCATAATTAGCTTTTGAACAGTTTAGATTTTAGGTTTCAGGTTAGGGATAGTGCTCAACCTGTATTGCTTTATTTGCCTTGAAGATGCCACAGAAGGCTTATTCTTCCGACATAACTTAATGCTCTTCAATTGCACATTAGTATGTACGTCTGTTGCTGGGAATTGCCTTGCACATTTTATGAAAGCTACATCTCCAGACATTTTTTATTTTTAATTTTGGAGTGCGGTCTCACTAAATTGCCTAGGCTGGCCTCATGAATGTGTGCTTCTCCTACCTCAGCCTCTTGAGTAACTAGAATTACAAGTCTGTGCCACTGTACCCGGCAAGAACTCACATTTTTTTGTTGTTGTTGTTTTTTTGATACCAGTGATTGAACTCTGGATCGTGTACCTGTAAGGCAGGTGGCAGAACCACTGAGCTAAATCCCCAGCCCAAGAACTTACTTTTAATACATACAGGTTTTGTTTTAGAGGAGGTTTTGTTTTGCTTCTAACATAACTGGTAATTTTCATAATGATAATGAATCAGCAAAAACAATATTAATGTAATTTAACTGATGTTATCTCTTGGATTTCTTATTTGATTTGCAGCTTTGATTAGTTTATCCTTTGGAGGAGCTATTGGGCTGATGTTTTTGATGCTTGGATGTGCCCTTCCAATATACAAGTACGTAAAATTTTTGTCTAAGTGTTTAAGGGTAAAATATTCTACTTTTGAAGTTGTAAAACTGTTTTGTTGTCTAATATAAAGTTAATGCAGAGAAATTCTCACCAAACACAACCTTTTAAAAATCATCACTTAAAATTTATTCGTAAAGGTATTAGGACACCAAAGTGCAGGAAGAAGTTTTTTATTATTATCTGCTCTTTGACTACTATGGAGTCTATAATAGCAAGACAGCAACACAATAGCTTAGTCCTGCTATTTAGTTTTCAGCATTTAGTTTTCTTATTTATAATGTTAATAAGAAAAGTAAAAGTATCTTTTACAGAAAATACCACAAGCAGAGTTAAAACACAATTGAGTTTTTAAAAATGGTGTAGACAGTGGCTTTCCCTAGACTAGAAAGATCTTTTTAAAATTAATATTCAGATAAATTAGAGAAAGACAACTCAGTAGAAAAATGAGCAACAAAGCTGAGGACTGCACATTGCTAGTAAGTACATGAAAATATACTCAGCCTCCCTCAGCACTAAGTGAAATACATTGGCAAAGACAGAATATATGGGCAGACAGGCACAGCTAGGGATTATGGTGGGGAGCTGAAATGTAAATAAATACAGTTTGCTTGGAGAGCAGTTTGCTCAGTTCTTTGCCTAGCCTTCCGCTTCTTAGACTTTTGCATGCAAATTACTTACTGTTGCTTGCAAAGATAACATGTAGTTGGCAGAGTGCAAGGTGTTTATGATAGGCTTGTTTATAATACCAAAAAAGGAAAACTGATGATGTCATAAATGTAATATCAAAAGAAAAATGGTTAAATTATGATATATCCATCAATTAAAATCCTAGGAAGCCTAAAGAATGAGGAAGAGCTATAAAGCCATCATGTACAGATTTTCCAGATATGTTAAGTGAAAAAACACTGCAGTGATCCAGTCACCTTATTATTGTGGGGGGGGTTCTTTTAGGATTTTGTTTTGGTACTGGCTTGAACTCAGGACTTTGTACTTGCGAGGCAGGCAGCAGAACCACTGAGCTAAATCCCTGGCCCTCCAGTCACCTTTTTAAAGCTTATGTCTGTGGGATTGTGCAAGTGTTGACCAAGAAGCTCCATAGGGAAGAGATAAAGAACGCAGGGGAGGTTTGGGAGCTGTTAGTTTTCACTTTTCATGCTTTTGTATTATTTGAAACTTTTCCTCTTACGTACATACTCCAACTCCAAACTTAAAATATCTGGGAAGAACATAAGTAAATCTTTACTTACCCTAAGCCCCTAAGTATAAGCAGTCTCCACCATAATGTGTGATTTATTCTGAGACAGTTTTAAAGACCATATATTTATTTATTTTCAACTTTTTATTTTGAAGTTATAGACTAGCAAGAAATTGCAAAAGTAGTACATAAAGGTTCCCAATGCCCTCAGGTAGCTTCCCTCAGTTGTAATATCTTGCATAACTAACTATAGTTGTCAAACCAAGAAATGACATGGACATGATACAGTTAATCAAACAACAGACTAAAAGTCAACCATTTGTACTGAGATAAATTTATATTCTGACTGAAAGTCTGCAGTATTATTTTCAATAAGTTTCCAATAGTTTGGTTTCAGTAGTTTGGGAGTTCCTAGAGACTTAGGGAAAGCACAGCTAAGGCTTTCAGCTTTAGGCTAAGGCAAGATGTCAGAGGCATGAATTTCAAAAGCCTACTATGTTTGTATCCTCATTTTCCATACACCTCTTTGATTGTAACCTAAAATGGAAAAAAAAGAATTGGAGGCCTTATTCCAACTGTTTTATTCACACACGTGCGTGCGCACGCGTGTGTGTGTATATGTATATATGTGTGTGATATATATATATATAGTGGATGTATATATATATGGAATTTTATTTAATATTAGAAAATGTAATGTATCGTTAATTTTAGAGATCTATAACTCAAAATGTTTCATACATCAATTTTCAGTTTGTCTTTTTTTTTTAATTTTCATATAGCAAAATATTTGTTGGTGGTTCAGGGATTTAGTACAGTGGCACTGTGCCTGTCTCAGAAGCTCAAGGTCCTGAGCTTGATCCCTGATACAAAAACCCAAAAAATTTTATTAGTACATTTTAGAAATATAAGTTGATAACATTTTTCATCTGTAGCTTGTTTGATATTTTGCAATATTCTTTTGGTACGTATAAAAAATCATATTTTATATGTAGAAAGATGACAGCAAAAACTATATTAACTTATTTTTCTTTTTCTAGCCAATACTGGCCCCTCTTTGTTCTATTTTTTTACGTCCTTTCACCTATTCCATACTGCATAGCAAGAAGATTAGTGGACGATACGGATGCTATGAGTAATGCTTGTAAGGAACTTGCCATATTTCTCACAACAGGCATTGTTGTCTCAGCTTTTGGACTTCCCATTGTATTTGCCAGAGCACATCTGGTAAGTGAATATATTTTTTCTATGAATAATCTTTATTAGACTGTTAACACTTTTCTGAAGTAAAGTTTTTAGTGATGATGAAAATGAGATGAGAGCCTAGAAGATAAAGATTAAAATCTCATTTTTTGGGTGTTCTTGATAATTAATAAAATTATATTAGTGAGCAGAGCATGCATCTATAGCAGCACTTGGCTTGCTAAGGCCTAGCTAACATTAGCTCATTCAATGCTGAACTGCCACCAGCCTGCCCTGTGAAACTGAAAACATAGAAGACCTGAAAAGCGCACTCTCTGTAGGTAAGAAAGTACAAAAGAGGAGAAAGGGCTAACGTGCAGATACTCAGTTCTCTGTCTCAGACTGTCAACCCAGATTCACACCTCCATCTCTGGAGAGGTAGGGAAGAAGATGGACTGGCTGCCCTGGAAGGTAGAGGTGGTGATTACTTCCCCACCCCCTTTGAAAGAAAGCACAAAAGTGTGTTTTCATCTCTATATTTATATCTAATCTGTTCTCTACATAGATTTTTAGTTTCACTAGGAAAGAGCAAATTTCTGTCTGATCAGAACATTTTTAAGATTCTGTGCTTTGTCATCGGAACTTAGAAGATAAGCTTGTTTTTGAATAATTATTGTCTCATAATTTTCTTTTTAAAGGATCCAAAGGCAAAAAAAAAAGCCATAATGTTATAAAAGCTATTAAAAACCATATTTGCCTTAGATCATGATTGGCATCCTCCTAGAACCTCAGTTTGCTTTCTTCTTACTTTTACTTTTCCATGTCTGTTAACCAGGTGTTTCTATCTTATTTCCATAGATTGAGTGGGGAGCTTGTGCACTTGTTCTCACAGGAAACACAGTCATCTTCGCAACAATCCTAGGCTTTTTCTTGGTCTTCGGAAGCAATGATGATTTCAGCTGGCAGCAGTGGTGAAAAGAAGTTACTGAACTATTGTCAGATGGACTTGTCATCTGTAGGCCATCCATGCGTATGAGAGAGATGGGGCAGTAGTGATACATGGTATAGCAAGCCTCTTGGGGGTGTCCTAGGTGCCCCCTTCTCACTTCTGTTGTAGGCATTTTATTTTCACAGAGACTTGCTGAAGGATTAAAAGGATTTTCTGTTTTGGAAAAGCTTGACGGATTTTACACTTATCTATAGTATGCTTTTTGTGGTGTTCTGTTGGATTTAAATATTTGTTTGTTTTTCCTGTTCAGCTTTTTTTTTAAATCAATATACATTGTTAAATATTTTTAAATGTGTTAACCATTTGCATTGGTTAGAAATTCAGAATTCTTCTGGCTATAGTGCTGGGCTAAAGTACACATTTTTTT